TGAAGTTAGACTAGACATGGAGCCAATCAGCAAAGAAGGCAGTGTCAAAAGAAACGGGGCATGGTCCAAGAAAGATAGGTAAACACAAACCAGCATTATCTAAGATGCATTCTCATGATCCATCAGGGTACTTGCAAGCCATGGGAAGAAGAGCCAGGTGGGCTACATCATAGGAAAGAAGACTTCCCATACTAAATGAAAGAGCTGTAGCTAAAGGGGATGAGAGGGGTGTGTGGGGGCGGCGGCGGGGGGGGGGGAGGGGCTGATGTGAAAGCTCTAAGCAAGGGGTGACAGGCTCAAGCTTTCTCTTCAGGAACTTGGGTCTCCCTTCCTCCCTCCTCCCCCCTGCAGTTTCTTGAATGCACCTGCAGACCTGCAACTTGGAACTTGTGACCCTCTTTTCTCAGCCTTCTGAGTCCTGGATTATAGGTGCGTGTGCCTCTGTGAAAGTTATCTTCTCAAAGAGGTGTATTCCACTCACCCTGTTCAAAACCACAGTCCCTCCCAACATCTGCGGTATATTTTAGATCATCAGTTGTCAACCTGATTGAATTGATAGATGCCTAGGAGAGTAGTGAAGCACAGCTCTGGGCGTGTCTGTGGGGAGAGTTCTGGACATCTCTATTAGATTAGATCCTGAGGACTCTGACCTAAAGGACCAATTAATGTTTATATGGATTCATGAGATGGCACTGTTGGAAGGTGGAGGAAGTAGGAGGCAACACCTTGCTGAAGGGAGTGGGCCATTGGGAACGCACCCTTAGCTAAATCTTGCTCAGACCCTTTTCTCTGCTTCCAGGCCACTATTGTGTAAACTATTCTCTGTAAACTAAAGCTCTGTCAGGCCTTTCTGCCAATAACAAACTGACACTTTTGAAACAGTGAGCCAAAATTAATGTTTTTCTCACTTAAATTCTTTCAGTTATTTTGGTCACAGTGATAGAGAAGTGACAAATACAAGTTTATAGTTTAGGCATCCGTTATGTTTTCACTGTTAGCCTTGGAATATAAACATAACTTCTTTTTTTTTTTTTTTTTTTTTGGTTTTTCGAGACAGGGTTTCTCTGTGTAGCTTTGCGCCTTTCCTGGGACTCACTTGGTAGTCCAGGCTGGCCTCGAACTCACAGAGATCCACCTGGCTCTGCCTCCCGAGTGCTGGGATTAAAGGCGTGCGCCACCACCGCCCGGCTAAACATAACTTCTTAAGGCAGAGACTTCTGTATATCTTGTCTCTGTTCATATCTCAAGTGCCTAGGACAGTGCATGGCATACAACATAATGTAAGTAGCAACAGTGCAAAAGAGAGCTAGTAAGGAGTAAGAAGAGGAGGAACATCATGTGTGTTATATGACTTCTCAATTGGTTGAAAATGATGGTTGAAAGAGAGGGAATGATCAGGCTTGCATGATAAACAGAAATGAAGAGTTCAAAATGCAAGAAGCAGGAAACAGAAGGCAATGGTGAGCCCTGTTAGGATATTTTCAAATGAAACTTGTAGAGTCTTGTGCTGGTTGGTTTTAATTTCAACTTGACACAACCTATAATCTCCTGGGAAGAGACTCTTAATGAGGAATTATCTAGACCAGCCTCGCTTGTGGGTATATTTGAGGTTATCTCAATTGCTTATTGATATAGGAGGATGCAGACCATTGTGGGTGGCACCATTCCCTAGGCAGAGGGTTCTGAACAAAATAAGAGAGGAGAAAGCTAGCAGAGAACAAACTAGTAAGCAAATATGGGTATATCCTCTATTTTGCTTTTCACTGTGACTGTGATGTGACTAGATGCTAGAGTTCCTGCCTTGATTTCCCCAATGGCAGACTATGATTTGGAATAGTAAGTCAAAAGAAACCATTTTCCTTTAAGTTGCTTTTGGTCGGGGTATTTCATCACAGCAACAGAAATGGCACCAGAACAAATTCTCAAGTGGAGATATGGCTGGCAGGTAGAACCACTCATAAAGCTCACTGTGAGATAGAAACGGATACTGTAGAATGACAGGTCACCAGAAAATCGATGGATACAGATATCAGGAGCCAGAAAGAACTCTACATCATGCCATAAGCACACAGAAGAGAAAAGTTCCAGGCACTTGAGAGAACAGAATTAAGTTTGTGGGTGGTTCCAAGTTTCATTTCCAAGGGCAGTCTTCCCTATTAGGTACCATCAGTTAACATCCTAACAAGGAAGAAAGGGTTTCAGAAGTGCAGGGAAACACATTCTTGGAATACTTGTGTCCTGTTTAACCGAAAACTGCTAAGCACCCACTCAAGTGGATTCAACAATGTTGTTTATCTCAGCCAGTTATCTAAACATTGGTGAAGGGACAAAGGATGAATTTGTTCTCTAGACTAAAACATGCCGGCCTTCTGGGTATCTCACAGCTTTTTCAAAAGTGTTGCATGAAGGCAAATAATATTATCTCCCTTTATAGACGGGGCCAGTTCACAAAGAGGTTAAAGTAATTTCCAAGGACTGCACAAAAGTCAGAGGGCAGCCCCTGGAACAAATCTTTGAAATCTTGGATCTTAAAGATGCCCAAATTGAGGTCATCCTGGTCACAAAGGCTTAGTCAGATTTATGAGCCAATCAGAAGGGAAATTGTACCAGTGATGTTGGATTCCTAGGTTTGAACACTAACTATTCACTATTTCCTCTGGCAAAGCACACCCACCACCACCACCACCACCACCACCACCACCACCACCACCACCACCACCAAGCAGGTGTGTTTTGGAACCTAGCCCTGGTTCCTCCTTTTGTGTCCTCAGATCCTGGATCCATCTGACCCAGATGAATTGTGGAGGAGAGAGATACATTTCTTTCCTGAAGTGGGGAAATGGTTCCTGAATTTGTCTCATGATGTCAAGTGGTGAGATTCCCATAGGGAAGCACTGAGTTGTGGGCAAGGTCTGACTGAGTTTCACAGTGTGGCTGGGATGGTCACTGCTGGTTTCTGTTGCTGACAGGGTGTCTTAGTCACTGTTCTCTTGATTTGAAGAGACACCATGACCACGGCAACTTATGAAAGAAAGAGTTTATTGGGGGCATACAGTTTCAGAGGGTGAATTCATGACAATTATGGTGAGAAACATGGCAGCAGGCAGGCAGACATGGCACTGGAGCAGTGGCTGAGAGCCTACATGTTGAGAGATAATAACCAAGAAGCAGAGAGACAGAGAGCGTTGGGAATGGCATGGGCTCTTGAAGCCTCAAAGGCCACCCCAGTGATATACCTCCTCAAACAAGGCCACACCTCCTGATCCCTCCTACACAGTTCCCCTCAACTAGGGAACCTGGGTAGGAAAGCATTCAAATTGTTCAGCCTATGGAGGCCATTCTCATTTAAACCACCATACAAAGTAAGAGACTGAACTCCTTCCCTAGAGACCAATTCTTGCCCTAGAGGTCCATAATGCTATGTGAAGTTAATAAAGACCTTTGGTATCATCAAAATGTAGAGAATTCCATCCACACCAGACAAAATTAACAGATATTTATAGCTCTTCTGTTTCTGTTGACTAGCATTCTAGAAGCCTGACAACACGGAGTTGCTCCTTAACTAAAAGAGCAGTGACAGCAGTGGGGGGGGGGGACACGACAGAATATGGGGTGCCACGACAGAGTCAACATGAAACAGGAAAGCTGTTTAACTAGAAATGGTCTGGGGTGTGTTTGCAAAGAGGCTTGTCCAAGGGTTATGTGCCATATGATGGGATTTTCTCTTTAATACTTCACATCTCCAGGTAAGCACCAGAAAGGACAAGTAGAAATGACATTACTTGTGGAAAGGCAAGGCTTTATTTCCAAAATTCACTGCGAATAGAAGCATCCATGGCATATTGCCATGGTATTTGGGGAGGCTAAAGCAGGAGTTCAAGGCTAGCCCTGGCTATATAGGGAGACCCTGTACCAAAAACAAAACAAAAAGAAATAAAGAGTCCCAAAATTGGAATTAATGATAACAAAAGGAAGATGGAGAAGTGATAGGGAGGGCCCTTGCATACTCCAACTTAGAATGATAGCCAGCATCTAAAGTCACGAGGGACAAGATTACTGTGAATAAGATGTAGTGATATTTAGGTTACATTAAAAACACTTTGGGGCTGGGGAGATGATTCCATTGATAAAGTGCCAAATGCAGAAGCGTGAGGACCAGTGATCAAGTCATTATGTGAAAACATAGGCGTGAGAACACTCAGCTAGAACCCTCATGTTGGAAGACAAGACGGTAGAGCTGGAAAAATCTCTGGCACTCTCTGCCTGGCCAGTCTAGCCTATTTGTGAGCAACAGGTTCACTGAGGGATCTGTCTCAAAAACATAAATGGAGAGTGGTAAGAAACACCACTTTGACCTCCAGTCTCTATATATACATGCAAACACACATATATACATAGACATGCATAAGTGCATACACATACACAAACACAATTTTAAAAAATACTTTAGGTCCAAATCAAGAAATATTTGCCCAAACTATGCATATAATATCTCACTCAAGGAACCCTAATAAAATTAGACAAATAATCACTGCTAGTGACTACCACTTTATTCAAACCCACCATAGAAAAATTGACATATACATTCTAGAAAACATTCAAAAAAAACAAATATACAAAGGTATTGCAAATATATATATATATTGACAACACATAAAGATAATATTTAAAAAATAAACACAGATGGTAGAGCAATTAGTGTGAGTAGGATAGTTTCATAGAACGTGCATTTAAATCATATTTTTATGGGAAAATTAGAAGGAATTTTATGATATGAACATAATGGTCTCTATTTTTGTATGCTGTAGTTTCAGATTTCATTTTTGAAATGTTTTCCATTGAATTATTTGTGTTTAGTTTTAAAGAGTTGCAGCCAGAACTTGAGGGGGGTAAAAAACACAGAGGAAGTCCTCATTAGCTGCAGGGAAAACTGCCTTAGAAGCAAGTTGGCTCAGAACCATTGTCCCCATCGGAACCCAGAAGAATCCCAAAGCTTCTGAAGCATTGTGACAGAGGGAGAGGAGGTAAGCTGTCTGGTACCTTCTTCTCTTCCTGGGACTATGGTTCCAGACCCAGGAGAAAGTTGAGTCCTCCATTCCTCACGGCCTTCAGTGAATTTCTTGGTTTATATGGCCTCATCCGACAGAATCTGTTTCCCACAGTGAAAGAGGAGGAAGACATTAGGGTGGAGGAACTGGATAAAGACTGTGGATAAAACTGGTGTGTGTTCATCAACATCTTTGGAACTAGAAAACACAATCCAGGGCGTTCCTTAGATGTGGAATCTCCTCACGTCCAAATGAAGCGTCAAATGAGCAGTCAAAGGGGTCAGGACTCAGGCTTCAAAGATTTTGGAAGCTCGTGGTTTGTCAAAACAAAAAGAACAAATGGAATTCCAGGTCACCTCTGTTCAGCAGCAGGGCCAGTAGTCATACTGGATGGAACTTCCCTGTGGCTCTCAGGTCAAGCAGCACTAATCTATTTGGAAGAATCAAGGTCATCTACCAGCAGTGCCTTGGGGACTATTTATGGTGCATCTTGCAGGGACTCTGACTTTCATCTTTAAAACAGAAACGAAGCACTCGACCGTTTCTTCGGACATGTCAGAAGAAAATCTCCAGCTAAGGGACATTGAGAGCCCTTCCAACTCGCCCTGATTCCTCCCCTTAAAGATTCCCTTTTCCCCAAAATGTCCACTACTCTTATGATCATAAAACCCAACTCTTCTTCCCATCTTTAAGAAATAATTTTGATCTGAGACAAAACTGTCCTCTCCTCCATTCAGCAAATCCTAGACAGTCTGACATTTGAGAGAACACCTCACCTAAAATTAAGAAACAAAACAGTATTCTCTAAACTGGCAGAGAACATGCCTACCGTGTACAAGGCCCTGGATTCTCTATCACTTATAATGAGAGTTTAAAAATGGTTTTTAGGAAGTCCATCTGAAGAGAAGCTGGTCATGAATCCAAAGTGAAGCCAGTGTCGCTTGGGTGCTGGGAGTGACAGACAGCAGGCTGGCAGCCACCACTACTCATTCTGTCTCCCAGAAAGTGGCGAAGATCCACAGAGCACTCACAGTTCCAGATTTTATCCTAGGAGAGCACACAGCCTGGTTAACCAAGAACCGGGACAAGTGTGCAATAGATTAAGGAGAATGGAAGACTATTAGCTTTGTCCACTGTCCTTCCCCAGCCCTCTGTGTTATAGAAACTGAAGACAGTGCTCTATTATTTGAACGTGGAGAGATGACACCCTTCCCAGCTCAGTCCAGGCAAAACCTCACAGTGTATAAATAGAATTTTTCACAGTGAGAGTTAGATGGAAGTCTACAGAATTCTTAATAAATGGCTACTATGTGCTAAGTGTTGTAAGAATGTAAAAAGGCTCACAAAGACAAGAAAATATAGTGTTGCCCTTCAGGGAGCATGTAGCAAACAGAGAAGAAGGCAAGCATCAGTCTCCCTATGGAGAAAGGGAGTCCATAAGACCTTTGTTCTCAGCTGGACCAGCGTACTTGAGAAGATGGAGAGGTTCAGCTGAAGCAGGGAGCAGAGGAAGGGAGCTAAGACCAACTGCAATGCTCTAAGCAAGAAGAAATAAGGCCAGACTGGGAAGTGTTTCTGACATGGGAAGGATCCATATGGGGAAGCCCTCCTGCAGGCTATGATGGCCATCACCATGAGTGGAAGACTGAGAGGATTCAGGAATCAAAATAAGCCCAGGATGCATGCCATGAGGGGTTGGAGGGCAATGCAGCCATCCATCACCCTTGTTCAGGAAATCAGGAGATCCTATTTGGAGAAGAAGTGATGCATCTCTTATCCAAGATGCTTAGGACCAGAAGGGTTTTGGATTTTGGATGTTGGAGTACTTACATAGACACAATGAGCTACCTTGGGAGGTGAGATCCAAGGCTAAAGTTGAATTTCAATTATTTCTCATATATCTCACCCCTTAGCTTGAGGTTAACCTTATGTAGTAAGTCTAATGGTGTTATGGTGTCACTTGTGAGCATTATATTGGTGCTCCAAAGGTTTTAGATATTTAAGTAGCAATGCTCAACTTATGTTTAAAACCACAGAAAGTGAAGCAAGCTGATGAAGATCGTTCGAAACAAATAAGAGGTTAACAGAATGGATCCTTCTGCTTTTGTATTTCATTCTATGCAGAATTTAAGCCTTCCAACCTCCTGATTATAGTCTCTCCTTGATTAGAGGGAGGCCAGTGAGAGTACTAACTCTTGGTAGTTCCCAAATATCCCATTAGTGACGCAATTGGAAGTACCCCAGAGAACCGATTCTTTCTATTCAGCTCCAGGACCCTCTAATTAATGAAAAGGAGAAACGCAGCCTAGAGACTAGGTAATCAAAACACGCTAAAGAAACCATTGATTCAGAATCGCTTACAAAAACAAATCCGCTGGCAGAATTCTAACACAGTAAACAGTCCCTAAAATGGGAATCCAACCAGAAAGCAGGGCAGCGGGCAGAATGCGTCAGATTATAAACAAGCCCCTTTTAAAGTCTCTGAGCCAGAAAATCAGCTCCAGTAGCAGCAATGAAGAAGAAAAACTGTCCTCCTGGCACCCCCGCCTCCAGTGACAAGCAGGGACCAGATGGCCAGGCATTTGGGGACTTCTTGTTTATTTTATTTTATTTATTTATTTTTTTTATTTTTTTTTTTTTTGCTGCATAGGAAGTAGTCTCCTGGAGAGACCCTGGTTGGTGACTGCCTGTGTCATCTTCTGCTTCCCATCCTGTCCCATCAGTGTCCCCTTTCACTGGCCATCAGAAAAGGAGCTCAAAGGCCACCTGATTCTTCTCATAATCTGTTCCTAGGAAGTGAGGACTCTCTCATCACTGTTAGATGGACAAGCGGAAGCTTCCGAACTTAACAGAATCATGCATTCTGGTTTGGGGGGACCTTCCAGATTTAGGGATTGATCGTATACATGTTCTATTAAAAGTTATATATAGTAATTTTTTTTTTTAATTTTTCAAGTGGGCAATTCAATGGCTTGGTAAAAATTGCTTCTTTCTATGAACACATCTCTGATGTTTCCATTCATGGACATTGTCTTAGTTAGGGTTTGTATTGCTTTGGTGAAATACCATCATCAAAAACAAAGCTGGGGAGGAACAGGCTTATTTGGCTTATACATCCATATCACTGTTCATCATTGAAGGAAGTCAGGATAGGAATTCAAACAGGGCAGGAACTGGAGGCAGGAACTGAAGCAAAGGCCATAGAGGAGTGTTGCTTACTGGCTTACTCCTCATAGCTTGCTCTGCCTGTTTTCTTATAGAACTCAGGACCACCAGGCCAGGGATGGTCCCACCCACATTGGGCTGGACCCTGCCCCATCAAGTACTAATTAAGAAAATAAACTTGCCTACAGCCCCATCTTACAGAAGTATTTTCTTAAACAAGGTTCCCTCCTCTCAGATGACTTTAGCTTGTGCCAAGTTGACATAAAACCATCCAGCACAGATGTATTTTAAAAGTGCCATGATCTCTGTTTTTCTTTATTCTGTTACCATAAGAGCATCATGAAAATGCTTCCATGATGGTAACCCAAGTCTAGGATGGTAACTTTAAGCCCCTAGGAAAATCTTGGCTTTGACCCCTGGAGAGATTATTTATCCTGTTCTTGCCTTTCACACTAAACACTGTAGAATCTGTTCATGGGTCATGGTCACTCAAATTTGACTCTAAAATAAACTCTTATTCACTTTGAGGTGAGAGCCGTGTTTTTTTGGGTTTTTGTTTGTTTGTTTGTTTGTTTTAGTTGACATATTCATACATATAAAGTAAAAATGAACAAAACCTGAAGAAAACTAGCTTTTGTTTCAATGCTATTGTAACTGGAATTGTTTTAAATTTCCTTCTAGTTGTTTATTATAATTTGTATTTACAGCTACAAACTTACAACATTCATTACATTCTTTTGCTTTGCTAAATTCACTTAATGGTTGTTTTGTAGACTCCCTAGATTTCTATTCACCAAAAGTTACTTGTGCTTAGAATAGTCTAGTTCCCAATTTCTATAACCTCTCCTTGCTTCTCGTTTTATGTCAAGTGCAAGGCCCTCAAGTACAACACTGAATAGGAGTGAGAGCAGACAACCTTGGCCTTGGCCTTGGGCTGAGGGCATCACATACGCCGCCTCTAGGGGTTATGTCACCAGCATATTTTCTTACAGACCGAGGGAAGTCCCATCTCCTCCTAGTTTGTCACAGATGCTCCGTGAATTCTGTCAGGTGCTTTTCTTCATTTACTGAGGTGGTGGTGGTATGGTTTTCTTCTTGATGGAGAATCCCATGGATGACTTTGAAACACTGTCCCAAGAATTTTTGCTACAAACTCTTCCTTCACTCTCAAAAGCAGCCTTTTCTTTTTTCTTCCAACAAATAACACAGTTGTCCTTTCCAGACTCTTCTGTTTTACATAATGACTGGAGTTCCATGAACCAGGGTAATAGGGATTTGCTATTCTGGGTCCACTGCCAGCCTCGGAGTCAGAGCCCTTGCTGGCACTTGTGAGTGGACTAGAAATGTAGAACTCTAAAGGACCTCTTCCCAAAGGAACTGCAGAATGTAACAAGTTGTAAATCCTAGGTCTCAGCTCTTCTTGGATAACTTTAAGCCCCTAGGAAAATCTTGGCTTTGACCCCTGGAGAGATTATTTATCCTGTTCTTGCCTCATTGCCGTTCACACTAAACACTGTAGAATCTGATCTTCCACAAAATGAAAGTTCCTAGAGGTTTAAAGCTACAGTGTGTTTAAAGAAGAAGAAGAGGAGGAGGAGGGGGAGCAGAGGAAGAAGAAGAAGAAGAAGAAGAAGAAGAAGAAGAAGAAGAAGAAGAAGAAGAAGAAGAAGAAGAAGAAGAAGAAAAGCAAAAAAAGAAAAGAAAAAAATAGAAGCCTTTTTATTTCAGCAATTGTCTTAGGGTTCCTACTACTGTGAAGAAACACCATGACCATGGCAACTCTAATAAAGGAAAAAAATAGATTGGGGAGGCTTACAGTTCAGAGGTTTAGTCCATTAACATCATGGCAGGTGGCGGCATGCAGGCAGACATGGTTCTGAAGAAGGAGCTAAAAATTGTACATTTTGATTTGCAAGCAGCAGCAGGAGTCTTTGTCCCACACTGGGTGTAGCTTGAGCATAGGAGACCTCAAAGCCCATCCCCACAGCAACACACTTCCACCAAAGGCCACACCTACTCCAACAAAGCCGTACCTCCTAATAGCGCCACTTTCTATGGGGGCCTTTTTCTTTCAAATCACAGCAATATAGTCAGCAAATAGACTTAAAGGAATACACTCTTGGAATCAGAACTTCCCCTGGGAGTTATCACTGTGCTCTGTGATACTTGATAGGTAAATACAGAACCTGTGGTTATTGCTTTCACTTTTAGTTGCTTTTAATTTAATTTAATTTTTTTTTTTTTGACACAGGGTATTGCTTTGTAGGCCAGGATGGCCTTGAAATCCTCCAGCATCAACCTTCAGAATTCTGGGAGTACAAGCATGGGCCACTGTTCCTGGCTCTGAGAATTGCTTTAAATATCTTCTTGCATTTCAAGCCAAGTGGGATGGCACACACTCTAGAGGCTGAGGCAGGGGGGTCATAAGTTTAAGTCTATCCCAGCATGCACAGCGAGACACTACGTATCAGTCAATCAATATATTCAAATTTCAAACAAACAGAAAGTAATTAGAAAAAGCATAGGTAGAAGGTATTTTGATGCTGTGTTTAATTGGAATCGTAAGAGACTAGGTTTTAAATCTCCATTTATTGATAAACTCAGCTTATGACTCTAGGCCAGTCATACTACATAAAACTACAACAATATCTGGTGGCATTTATGTAGAAACGTGCCAGATATTTCATTGTATAAACATAATAGAATGTTTTTCTTGTCATTTTACTCTTTAAAAAAAGACAAAGAAAAAATTATGAAGGTGAATCCAAGATACTTATTCAATCGGAAACCCAAGTGTGGTGCCTCGTGCCTATGATTCCAGCACTTGGGAAACTGAGGTAGAAAGATTGCCAAAGCTTAAGGCCAGTCTGGGCTACATAGTGAGCTCTAGTCCAATCTGGACCAATCTGTAGAACAAGGTCCTGAAGAAAAAAAAGTCAAAATGAAATTCAACTGTAACAGAAACAGCCCAAAACAGTAGTCATCGTTGCCGTGATGAAGGCTCATCCCAAAGTGCTCCTTTAAAACATCCCCATGCAGAGGGCTCTATCACCCCAAGTGACACTCAAGGTGGCTTTCTCAAGGCCAGGCAGGTGGCAAATAGCAGGGCTGGCACCTTAAACTCAAGGTCAAAACACTTGACCTTGATGTTCAACTATCCATGTCCTAACACGAAAACTAGGCAGGTGAGAAAAACACACAGGCTTTTCTAAGGGGCCCAATCAATAACTCACAGGTAGAACACTATCCGGAACTATTGCTCTGACCATTGGCCCCACAGCTATTATTTAATGAATGCTTACATACACACACACACACACACACACACACACACACACACACACACACACACACACAAACCATGTCTTGAAGCACTTTCCAAAGGCTTCTGATGCAAGTTTCGGTTCTTGTCCGGACTTAGATAGCCGGGACTGGAGGGCCACCTGTAACCACTTTGTTGTAGACGTCCCTTTGGCACCCAGCTTAACGTGCCATAGTTTGTGGAGTTTTCCCCATCCACTTACTCCTCGGTTTCCTAGAGCTCATCCCTTCCACCAAAGACATGTGCACTCTGAGACACGGGACTCCGCTGACCGGGTGCCAGCCTTTGCCAACAGTGGGTGGGGAGCAAGATTTCTCAGTCTGCACCTGCATTCACCTGGTGCACTGTACAGGAGTTTCCAACTTGAATGAAGCAATGGGAACCCATGTGCAACTAACTTGTGCCTCTTCTTATGCTGGCCATGGCATACTCTGAATTCTCTCTCTCTCTCTCTCTCTCTCTCTCTCTCTCTCTCTCTCTCTCTCTCTCTCTCTCTCT